CAGTTGGATAATATTTCGAAGAGATTATGAAGCGTATTTACGTTGCCATAGCCCTGGTGCCAGACAAGTCAAACATAACCTGCTTCTTATTTACTTTTTATTTTTATTTGCTACTCTCACTCTTGTCCACACGCTTACTTTGTTCACTTGTTCTTGCTTCACTCTCGTCATTGCTTGTCAATTTTCGCTTGCTCGCTCTTGTCCACTCGCTTGTCCACACAAACTTATTATTTTGGCTCTTCCACTCAACCTTGCTAACTTGCTCTTTCGCTTGCTAGCCCACATGACTGCATATTCTCACTTGCTCATGTGATTGCATCTCATTCGATTGCTCACATTTTCATACTTATTTATATTATCCTTGTTTTTTTTTACTTGCAATTATTGGTTGATTGTGCTCTATTGAAGGCATTCAAGACTTTTGTATTCTTCTCTGCTGTTTGCAAAGTTTTTGATAAACTTTTACGCTCTATTTACTTATTTCATTTTATCCTTACAACAAACTTCTCATCCTATTGATCCTTGGTAAATACTAAAGTATGCTATAGCTTTCAATTCGCCGCTGCCCATTAAATATCCTCCCAGTCCATTGATTCTATCATCATCGACCGGTACAAAGAAGTTCAAGATGAGAATGACTCGAACGAGAAATAATAATGATCATGATTTATTTTGTGCAACTTGTGAGTATGTGGGAAAATCGTATTGCCGTTACTTTCACGCAGTCAACTTGACGTCTTTTCCTGGGTGTGGAATATACTATGTAGACATGATTTGGTTATGCTCATAGTTGACCTGTGCGCCATTTTGACTGAACATAATTCGGAGTGCATCCCCTTTCTTCCCTTTTTTTTTAAAATACAACCCCTCTCCTTGTTTTTCAACTAGTATACAGTTCTTGCACTACGAATTATGGGATTCGTGGAAGGATTCATGAATTAAGAATTGAAAGCACATCGTGGCCACAGCCTTGCTGTGAACGTTCTTCTTGATTCATGATATGAGCATACTTTTTTTTTATTTTTCCGATGCTCATTGGACACCTTGATTCATTTCTTTCTTTCTTTTCTTTAGATTTTATTACCATAAAATCAGCACCTACAACCATTGTCGCAAAATTCAAGGACCTATACAAAGAAGTCTAAGGCTAGAACGACTCGAGCGAGGATAATGATGACAACGATTAACATTTCATGTCTTATGAGCATTATACTGACTGATCATAATATTGTAGCGCATTCTCTTCTATTTTTTCACTAATATATGTTATTAGTTTTACTAATATTGACATTGTGTTTATTTCATCGGCGTCAATGAATAAATAAGCATCATTATTGATCGTAGACGGTGGAACTGGGAAATTAGCATTGGTCATAGAAGGGTGAGTTGTCGAAACGATAT